CCTGGGAAGGTGCAGAGAGAAGTGGCGTTGGGGCACAGGGTCCCGTTGCCCACTCGCGGAACGAGCTTCAGGCTGAGGATCTGCTGCAGGAGCCCGGCCGACCCCTCGCTGCCGCCGCTCCCCTCGTGCTCCATCCCGCCGCCATTCACCGCAGAGGGATGGGGCAGAGCGTCCGCAGTGTCGCTGTGGCTCGCTCTGACGGTCGGCTCTGCTCTCGGTTCATCCGCCGCCTCAGCGTCACCTTCGGCCAGGGCCCTCTTCCTCCTACTCCAACGGCGCTGTCGAGTGATGGTCCCTTCCTCCAATCAGAGCGCGCCGCAGATGGCGGGGGCGGAGCGAGAGTTGTTCCCGCCCCTCACGTTGCGTAAGGCTCACCGACACACCGCACCCACGCAATACGCCCCCTAGTGGAAAGTCTCTCCTGCTCCAGCTGGGCGCGCTCCGCTTTGCTCTTGTCTGCAGCGCCACCTATAAGGAAGTAGGGGAATTCTATACGTCCCAGCTGACCAAGATGTAGATTTAAAACGGATCTGGCCATGAGGATAAGATGGTTGAGCAACAGACCCGGCCGGTTTGGCTTAGTGGATAGAGCGTCGGCCTGCGGACTGAGGGGTTCCAGGTTCGATTTCAGTCAAGGGCATGTATCTTGGTTGCGGGTACATCCCCAGTAGGAGGTGTGCAGAAGGCAGCTGATGCATGTTTCTAACTCTCTGTCCCTCTCCCTTCCTCTCTGTAAAAAATCAATAAAATATATTTAAAAAACATTAAAAAAAAGATGGTTCAGCAACAAAGTGAAGGAAGCTGGAAGACAATGCAGCAATAACTTCAGTATTTTGAGGGGAAATGATTTTTTTTGACAACTTAATTTACTTTAAATTTAAAAGCATTGTGTAGAAAATACATAATATTTTCCTTTTAATTCAAGATTATCAGTAAGATTGTTTATTAGAGTTCCCTCTTGAAAGTATTTGTTTTGGAAACTGTTTTAAAACCATTTCTCCAACACTACAACTGGGATTTGGCCTCAAATCAAGAAATGTTTCTAGCCCTAACTGGTTTGGCTCAGTGGATAGAGCATCTGCCTGTGGACTGAAGGATCCCAGGTTGGATTCCAGTCAAGGACACATGCTCGGGTTGCCGGCTTGACCCCCAGTAGGGGGTGTGCAGGAGGCAGCCAAACAATGATTCTCTCTCATTGATGTTTCTCTCTCCCTTCCTAACTGAAATCAATAAAAATGTATTTTTTAAAAACTTTTCTAAAACAAAAATAGTAAGTATAAAAAAGTCATGAAATATTTAAGAATGCTGTCTTTTGGTACATTTCCCAGACTAGCAGAATGCATAAGTGGAAGAAAGCAATTACTTGAAGGTAATATAACAATCAATCATGTATTACATTAGGAAACGTTATCTTTTTAAAAAAATAATGTTAAATTGATTTTAGAGAGAGAGAAAGGGGGAGGGGGAGAGAGAACCATCCATGTGAGAGCCAGACATGGATCGGCTGCTGCATGTGCCCTGACTGGGAATCTAATCGGCAACCTTTCCATGCACAGGACGATGCCCAACCAACTAAGCCACACTGTTCAGGGCAGAAATGTTATCTTGAACTTAAAATTCTATCCCCAGCCGAAACCGGTTTGGCTCAGTGGATAGAGCGTCGGCCTGCGGACTCAAGGGTCCCAGGTTCGATTCCGGGCAAGGGCATGTACCTGGGTTGCGGGCACATCCCCAGTGGGAGATGTGCAGGAGGCGACTGGTCGATGTTTCTAACTCTCTATCTCTCTCCCTTCCTCTCTGTAAAAAAATCAATAAAATATATTTTAAAAAAAATTCTATCCCCAAAGGGTGGATTGAGAAGTTTAAAAAAAAAAAAAAGACATTTAGACTTTCAGGACTCAGAAAATGTATGTTTCATGTGCCCTTTCTAAGGGAGCTGAGTATATACTCCAGTGAAGTTAGAGTGATAACCAAGAAAGAGAAATATGTGCAATACAAGAAATGGTAGATTTAACCAGGAGGGTTAAACTGACTTCTGTGCAGTAGTCCTAGCAGCCACCTAACCAGATTGGAACCGAAAGAAGAGTGTCCTCAGGAAAATAATGTAATTGATTTCAAGCTATAGACAAACTAGTTAAGAAGCTCAGACTTAAAAAAAAAAAAGCTCAATTTTTGTTGTTAATCTCACCTAAGGATATTTTTCCTACTGACTTTTAGAGAGAGTGGAAGGAGAGAGGGAGAGGGAGGAAGGGAGGGACAGAGAGAGATGGATCAGTTTGCCTCCTCCACACCCCCTACCATGGATGGGGCCCACAACCTGGACATGTGCCCTGACCTAAAATCGAACCAGCAACCTTTAGGTGCTGGTTTATTAACCAGCCAGGTTAATAAATCCGGGTTTTTAAATACCTTCTCCATAATATTGTGAGCAGGGGCAGGTCTGGGTTTTATGGAGCCTGAAGCCCTATAGCTTGATGGAATCCTACAATGAGGAGTCCCGAATCCTCAGCTTCAAGGACAATATACCACTGCTTCCTGCACGGAAAGAAGCAGAAAATGCCACATCCCCCTTGCCTTGCCTACTTGCAGGATAGATGTGGGTCCACAACTGAGGTCTCACCAATCTAAGACCACACCCCAGCTGAGACTCAGAGGCTAGCAACCTCTAGAACCCCTTCTTGTGCCTGACAGCACCAGTGAGGGTTGCTCCCTCATTTCCAGGGGTAATAGGCATCGTAGTTCTGGTGGCAACCGTCAGTTTCCAAACCAACTCTCTGCTCCAGTGGAATTTGCTGTATTCTATTTGTGTGGCCTCAAATCTGCTGCCTTGACCTTCCTAGCGGGTTTGTGAGCTCCCCCTCCCCCGTTTAGTCATTTTCTGAGCTCAGTTCTAAGCCTTCTACACATCCAGCATCCTTTTAACAAGGCTTTGCTCCAGAGCAAGGTGTTGTGGTTTGCAGTTAGGAATCTTACTCTGCTCTCCTGTAGGGCCCAGCCTGAAAGGACCAAGGGAAGACAAAGCCTTCCCTCCCTACCCGCTACCCCAAGCTCATAGCAAGCCTGATCTAGTTACATTCACCGGCACTGATCCTGCTGCCAACCTCTTGCTCCACCACACGCTCTACCTGGCTTGCCTCCCAGACCTTCCCAACCTTCTCTCCCAAGGGAGGAGAGAGATAAGGGGAAAGAAAGACCCTCAGCAGGAGCCAAGTTGTCTGAACTATTCCCAGTGCCCAGAGGAAGTAGGGACACAAGCTTTGTTTTCCTTTTTAAAAATATTTTTATTGTTTATGTTAGAGAGAGAAGGGAGAGGGAGAGATAGAAACATCACCAGCTGCCTCCTGCATGCCTCCCACTGGGGATCGAGTGGGCAACCCGGGCATGTGCCCTGACCAGGAATCCAACTGTGACCTCCTGGTGCATGGGACAACACTCAATCCACTGAGCCACACTGGCTGGGCACAAGCTTTGTTTTCTATGAAGAATGTGCCCGATGGAAACCCAGCAGCAAAAAAAGGACTCCAAGGAAAGTCAAGAAGTGGCAATAAACAGGGAGTTTGGGGACACAGTCCTTTCCTAATACAAGGGAGGATTCCCAAACTCCCGGCTCCTCCAGTAGCGGCCTGCGCCCTGTGTACCCCAGCCCTCTCCCCACCAGTTTCCTCCTGGCCATGGCGACCGCCACAACCGGGCCTTTCGCTAAGGCCCAGGGTGCGCATTGGTGGACGATGCCCAGCTGAAGCTGCCCGGGCCGCGCGGTAGCACCAGGTCCAGGGCCAGGTCACGCTGCTCTTCCTCGGAAAACACGGGTCGGTATCCCAGCAGCTGCAGCGCGCCAGCACACAGCTCCTGCACCCGGCGGATCTTGGTGAAGGACAGCGCGTGGCGCCAGGCCTGGGAGACGTTCAGTGCGTCCCTGGACGTGGTCTTGAAGGCTTCGCGGCGCGCGCCAGGCCCGGGCCCATGCGTGATGTTGTGGATCCAGGCCTCCAGCTGCGGGGTGAGGCTAAGGCCCGCGAAGTCGTACAGTGCACGGATCTCGGGCAGCGGTGCTCGCGCCA